CACTTGTCCTGACTGAAATGGACAGGCCGTAACTACCTAATCTCGTTAATTTGGATGCAGTCAAAAAATACTTCACTTAGGATGAAAACCCGAAAGGGCGTCCTAAGTTGAAAGAAAATAATAAAAAGAAAAAAAAGAAAAAACGAGAAAAGAAAAAACGTTTAGGGTGAAAACCCGAAAGGGTACTCTAAATTGGAAAAAAAATAAGGTGGGTCCAATATAAAAACCCGCAAAAGGCGTCTTGAAACCAATTATGGGTCTGAGTTGAAAACCCTAAAGGGCAATTTGGATAATGATTCAAGAAAGTCCCAATCAAGACAGTAAAGCGTCGCGACATCCAAATCTTCTGCAGAGTTAATGATTCAAAAAAATGTTGCACTCTCCCGAACATTGTCGCATTCTCGATGATCCTTTGACAAAGGTTGTACTCAAAAGTCATCTAACGGTTTATCAGTTTAAAAGCGCCCGCATTATTGAGATCTAAGGCATCTACTTATATTTCTTTTATGTATTGACTTTCCAGAATGTTTGTCACGTACTCGTTGTTCCTTTTCCCTCATAAATAAATATGGCCATTTCTCTAAGTCATTTTCCTTAAGACATCTTAGATTGAATTTAAATAAGAATGATTTATTCACTCTTAAAAAGATAATCAAGTATTACTGTACAAAGATTTTGCGGAAAGTACAGGTGGCCGGGAGCCGATAAAGGTTATTATACCACACTCGAGATAATGGATTCTAGTTAATTGAGGCAACGTTGATCAAGTCAAGACTATAGATAAAGTTTCTTTAGAGATAAAGTTTCTTTAACGAAACTCCTAGAGTATGTGTCAAACCAAATATCAGAAATCAGAAATCAAGAATCAGAATATCAAGTTCGTCAAAAGTCATCAAGACCGACACCAGGAGATTGAGATTTATCTCTAAAAACAGCATGTTGCATATGCATTTTAGGCATATATAAGGACATTGCATTCATAGCAATGCATATGTGTATAATTTTGCATATTCCTATCAAGGTCTATTTTACTGGATTCAAGGGAAGCTTAAAATTAAAACAACCTATCCAAGTTAAGATTTTAACCTCACAAGGAAGGATATCTGGCTCAAGGCAAATTCAACTGGACTCAACTTTACAGCGAAGGAGTCACATACGATTTCGACTTCACAATGAAGGATATCGTACCCAAAAGATTAACCTAACTTCACGAAGAATGAGTCATCTGTAACACAACAATGAAAAAACCATCTTTCACACCAAAGTCTTTAGGTCAAATTCCAGCTTCACGACGAAGAATATTGGGCTAGAAGACAATTTGTGAACTACCTTGAGCTCGGTTTCAACTTCATAATGAAGGTTATCACACTCAAGAAGTCAACGATTTTAACTTTACAAAGAAGGATATCGTGCTCAAGATTTTCCTATTCAACTCAACTTCATAGCGAATGAGTCAACCACGATTTCAACATTATGACAATGGATATCATGCAAGGAGTCGTTTGAAGACTGAATCAACTTCACAGAGAGAGAGTCGTCTATAATTCCTTCTGAATTAACAAACCAATCATAACATCAGATTTCAACTCTACGACAGAGGATATTCGATGAGATGGGAATCGCTCCCCATAATAGAGGATGTTAAACTCAATGATACATTCATGATGGACGAAAATAGTGTCTTTTAATCTTTTCCCTATTCCCGTTACACGATTATAGATAAAGAGGGGTAGCTGTAGACACATATTTTCGTCCGATCTTATTTATATAATATATGGTTTATATTATATCAACGTATTATTATATTATTTTGTATAGTATATATTATGTTATGTATTATGTGGTACATACATATTATATATTTATAATATATATTTACATTATATAGTGTATATATTGTGTCGTATATATTCATATTATATAGTATATGTATATATACATCATTATATATTTACATGTACTATTATTATATGTTATTAGTTAACATTTTTTGTTTTGTTTTATGTGTAGGCCCAATTCAACCCGAAAAGTAAGCCCGTGTTTCAAGGCCCTGTTGGTACTAGGGTTTGTTGCTTCCCTTCAATGCCGCACATCCATCATTCAAGGAGTGAATCGCCGGTCAAACCGAGGCTTGGAGATCATTCAATGAGTGAATCGCCGGTCAAACCGAGGATTCTTGGAGAGTCCTCACACCAGCAGCAACAAACCCACTTTCTGAATCATCCGGCACATCGTGGATTTCGTGAAGATCCAACAAAAAATAATCTAGTATTTTAGTCTAACTAGAATTCTTTCCGAAAGACCTTTTCTTATATTTGGCCCTCCTCGAGGCTTTTTGAGGAAAATGGTGAGGAGATTTGGAAATAGTAAATAGTGTAAGAAAGTTAGGGTTTCACCACCGATGGACAACGATCGGTGCCGGTCCATGGCGGTAGGCGAAGCAGAGCTCGGTCGAAAACTGAGTTTCATATAAACCCCGTTTAAATGTTCTTCCCAGAATAAAGAACACGAAGAAGTTTTAGAGAGAAAAAATAGAAAGGGATTTGATTCGTTTTTTAAGGAGAATGAAAAATGGGATATGTTTCCAATTTTTTGGGTTTTATACTTGACCCGACCGACCTGTTTGGAGACCCATAAGACCTACTTTTTTTTCCGTGGGTTGGGTCAAATTTCATTGCCAACCCCTCAAGGTTTATACGAATTCATTTCAGTCGTTTATTATGTTTTTTTTAATTTAGCCCGACACTTTATCTTATTTCTTTGCAATTTGGTCCTTTTTATTTATTACATATTTCATTTGGTTATTTCTTAAAAAGCCACTACACTTTACGAGTTCTTGATCCGTCAATAATTGCTTTTTTATTTTCTTTTATTTCTATTTTTACTTAATTAATTTTTAATTGGTCTTGGTTAGTATTTGACTTTGCAATTAACATTTAATTTTTATTTTATTTTCTAATTAACTTTGTCTTTATCTCTTTTTCTTCCTCCCTTCGTGTTTTTATGGGTGATTTATTTTTGTTCTATTGGTTTTTGGCATTTCATTCTGTTAATTTTATGTCCATATTTTTTTTTGTATGTACGTATTTCTTTTTTTTTTCTTTATTTAAAGTATTAAAATTTAGATTTTGTTAATTCTTCTTTTTGAATCACTTAATATTTTTATTTTTTTAACATCTTTCTGACCTTTTAGGGTTATATTAAATCGATTAAAGGTAAGTAATTTGGATTTAATTTTTTATTTTTTAATTTAACTTTTAATTTTCGTAATTAAGACAACTGAAAATTAAATTAGTACCAAAATGGCAGTACAAGGGTTCTAATCCTTCCTTGACTGTAACCGACTCCCGAACCCGACATATTTTTGGTAAGATGCAGATCATGTAAGAGAGTAAACCGAGGTGTCTGGTCAACCTAATTTTTATTTGTTTTTAAAAATAAATGATCAGTGACGGCTCTAACCCATTTATTTAAGTCGAAGCCCAATTTCGGACCCACCCAAAGGATGGTTACGACCTTATTCTTTGCAATTTATTTTTTTTGGCATTTCATTCTGTTAATTTTATGTCCATGTTTTTTTGTATGTACGTATTTCTTTTTTTTTTCTTTATTTAAAGTATTAAAATTTAGTTTTTGTTAATTCTTCTTTTTGAATCACTTAATATTTTTATTTTTTTAACATCTTTCTGACCTTTTAGGGTTACATTAAATCGATTAAAGGTAAGTAATTTGGATTTAATTTTTTATTTTTTAATTTAACTTTTAATTTTTGTAATTAAGACAACTGAAAATTAAATTAGTACCAAAATGACAGTACAAGGGTTCTAATCCTTCCTTGACTGTAACCGACTCCCGAACCCGACATATTTTTGGTAAGATGCAGATCATGTAAGAGAGTAAACCGAGGTGTCTGGTCAACCTAATTTTTATTTGTTTTTAAAAATAAATGATCAGTGGCGGCTCTAACCTATTTATTTAAGTCGAAGCTCAATTTCGGACCCACCCAAAGGATGGTTACGACAATTATCACTATTCAACAATTCATTTTGTGAAAGATACGAAACAACCCAAAGTCAGGTATAGATTTTTCTTAAAAACATAAATTAAGATCGACCATCTCCTTTGGAAATTGATATTTAAAATAACTCACAGAGAACATCAAACATTTTCCATTAAAATTAGGGCATAATGAACAATTTTATGAGTAAACAGCATTAGATACCACTTACCTTTAAGCAGCGTATCATTTATATTACTGAATTTTCAGTAATTCTACTATAGCATTAAAATATGGGTTTTACTTCAACTATGTCATTGTGATGTTAAATTTTAATGATATGATGATATACATAGATCTTTCCATCATTATGGCGACATGAACGAAACAATATTATTTTTAGTGACTATTGATGCCCAAAATGACGTCGTATTAATTTTTTTCTTTTTTAATCATTGATAGCTAATCCTCGTTTGGCACTGATTTAATATTTTTATGTAAAATTATTTCATCCAATTTGATAACATTGCTTATTGGCTTAAACTAATCGGATACTAATTTGAAATATATATATATATATATCAAAAGAAATTAAATACTGGAATACATATGTATGTAAAATGGGTACATTAGAGGGGAACAAGAACTATATAATACATTGTAAATAAGATCATACAGAATGTATAAACTCACATGTGATTGATTCATGTGGTAAGTAACTTGTTATTGCTTAAGTAAGATTTCGAGTTTGAGTAATTGTGTATGCAAAAAATATCTGCTAGGAAACTCACCCACCAAATTCAGGTGTATGACGCGGATCGATCCAGATTAATCAAGACGAAACCTTGAAACCGGGAGGGGAAAAAAACTATGCGAACACTTGATTGACTGATTTTAGTTGGGCTATTTTGCTTGGAGCTCAAAGCAAATGGGTTTCTTCAGGAGCCTGTTATTGCAACAAAAGGACCCAATTAAAAAAGAAAAAAGAAAAGGAACCCTCATCTCTTCCCAACAATGCCATTCTCCCGTTTCTTCCAACATCTTCCAATGGATTCGGCTTTGAATTCCCCAGTTTTTCATCAAACACCTTTCACTCATTCTCAAGTTTCATTCCCTTTCTTAAGTTTCAAAACAATCCCTTCCCAATACCTTACCCTCAACAAACCACCCACAATCTTACGCTGCTCTACTTCTTCAACGAATAATAGTAATAACAGCAACATGGCAGGGCTTTCTGTTAAGAAGAAGAGGAAGCGGTATAGGAAACAATACCCTGGAGAGAGTCAGGGCATTTCTGAAGAGATGAGATTCGTTGCTATGAGACTCCGTAATATTAAAGGTAAAAAGGTCGCTTCCAGTAGTGGTTCTGACACTGAAAATACCCAAAGCGAAAAAGAAGATGATGGTGATTCTGAAACGGAGAAAAGAAATGACAGTGGTGGTGATGGAGAGGCGGAGACTTGGTGCCCCAGTATGGAAGGGTTTCTTAAGTACTTGGTTGATAGCAAACTCGTCTTCAACACTATCGAGCACATCGTTGATGAATCTAATGACGTTTCTTGTGAGTTCTTTTTTTCCTTGCAGTTTTCTTTACAGAAATGGGTTCTCTTGGGGTTTGCGTTCCCTTTCCCAATAATCTGGGGAGCCCTCTTTTACATTTTGATTTGTGTCAATGGAGAGAATTACTATGAACTTTGTGGCTGTGCCTAATGAATGTGAATCTTGAGTGGCTTTGTTAAGAGTAAAATTTGAGCCTTTGCATTAAAAATGGGTCTTTTCTTTCTTATTATGCCACCAATGTCTGCCATGTATTAGACCTACATGAACCAATTATGCTTAGATGTTCATAGTTATTTGAATTTCGTTTGTGCAAAGGAGGTTAACATGTTTGCATTTGAACTCCGGAATTACTAAATGTATGAACAAACTAAATTAAGCTCCGGGTTCATAGTTACTTGCATGAATTAAGTTGCTATCTTCTTGTCTTGTTTTCAATTCATAGATGAAGAATTAACCTTTTTTTTTTGTGAACCCATGGTGGATCTTAACCCAATAGAATTGATTACTGCAGACTTGCATGTTTGTCACGCAATTTTATCACTTAAAAGCTCTTGCTTTCCGAGTTACTTTAAGAATATAAAATTGAAGTTTGCTACAGATGCCTATTTCAGGAAAACTGGATTGGAAAGATCAGCATGCCTTTCTAAAGATCTAGAATGGTTTAGCCAACGAGATTTTGTGGTTCCTGAACCTAGCAATCCTGGAGTTTCGTATGTCACGTATTTGGAGGAATTAGCTGAGAAAAGTGCTCCACTTTTCTTGGCCCATTTTTTCAATATTTATTTTTCACACATAGCCGGTGGTCAAGTGATAGCTAGAAAGGTATGCATGGAAGTTCATTGCCTTCCTCCTCTTTATTTCCCTTGAAGTACCTGCAATCAACATCTGCTTTGGAGTTTGGACACATTTTTAGATACGAGTACGAAGATATGATCTTTCAGGACTCTGCAAATATATGGAAAAATTGTACATACTCATGTTCAACCTTTACATATATCTGACACTTGCATCCGTATCTAAATAAGACACTCATGATTTACTGTTTCATAGTCTCCATTTGCATTGCTTGAAGTTGGACCATTGAAGTATTTCTAAATTTGAGGCTATAAATTTTTTTAATGTTCTCTTTTTATATTTAGGACTTTAGAAGAGTTTGTGTATGTGTTCTATATTGTGTCCTTCAAGAAACACTGGTCTGAAAATGAATTATGAACACTAGCAGCTCTCTGTACAAATTGAAGACAAAAGAATTTTCATTAGTGACCATGCAAGAGCCTAAATTCTTCTATCTTCTTTCGGCCAAATAAAGGTTTTCAGACCAAACCAATCTTCTTTTTCTAACAGTTTGTTGTCTTCAGGTTTCTAAACAGCTACTTGAAGGGATGGAACTGGAGTTCTATAAATGGGAGGGTGATGAGCAAGAATCATTGAAAGGTGTCCGGAAGAAGCTCAACATGCTTGGCGAGGTTGTTGATTGAGATCGCCATGTACCGGATGAATAATCTGTTTACTTTTTCTGGGTTTTTACTTCTTACTTATCCATGGCTTATACTGTGCAGCATTGGTCTCGAGACGATCAAAATAAATGCTTGAAAGAAGCAGCAAAGTCGTTCAAGTTTTTGGGGGAGATAGTTCGTTTGATAATCTTATAAATGAGATTGGTTTCAATCAATGCTCTGTTTATTTGTAAGCCTATAATTCTTTTCATTCACCCCCCCTTCTTTTTCTCCCTTGCACGGCATGCAACTGATATTGGAATGTGACATCAAATATGTCGACATATCCTTGAAATAAACCAACATTCCTCTTGCTCAAACTTTAGCTTAGGTTTCCAAAGTTCCCCATTATTTCAGCTAATATGTTGTGTTTTCTTGCTATTCACTAGGCAATCCATTGACGTAGTTGTCTTATTGTCGGTACAGCCTACAAATGGAATATCGATATCAGTGTCATGCATTCAAGAACATTGATGTGCTTTAGTGGTGACATTGTTACCCGGGGACACAGACACTCGGCAAAGGAAACAACCTTTGTTGAAAGCCATGAAAATGGTGGCGACTGCTGTCTCTACTGAAGATGTGTGAAAATAAACGGCAAGTTTGACAGTGGTAATGTTTCTTGTTCTTGCTTGTTTTGGTTTTAATGTAACATGCATGAAACAGTGAATTTATCCTAGTGGGTGCAATAATATGCAGGATTTCGTTAAAAAAGGAGGTCCACTTCTATGTACTATTATGAAATCTGAGAGGAGATATAGAAAAGTGGGAATAAAACTAGATAGGACATAGGACACATTATCCATCATCTAAGTTCAGATTTTTCATTTTCCTTCAAGTTTGTGTCCGACGTATATATACATGAGTATAAAGATATGACCCTTCAAAGACCCTTCAAAGAAAATGAAGATCAAAGAAAATTTAAATGAATAGCTTTGTCGAATTATTGCAGTGTAGGATACTCGGATAAGCTACTGGCTGTCGAAGAGATCAGAATAATACGAATGCTTATTATGGTTTTTGACGACTAGCTTTTGCCTTGATTTCCATTTAATGTAATTCAAGGGTCCGTTTGTTTCACGTAAAACGTTTTCCGAAAAATATTTTCATCATTTTTCAATGTTTGGTTGGAGGAAAACTGATTGGTCAACGTAAAATATTTTCTTGGTCAACATAATTTCTTTTGTGTTTTTTGAAAAATGATTTACGGTCTGATTTTTCGAACTTTCACTTTAAAGAATAAAGACTCAAAATAATTTTATTTTATGAATTTAATATTAATAAAATATTTTAATATCATTTTAATCAAAATATTAATTATCAAAATATTGAAAATATATTATAATATACTATTTAATATTTTAAAAATATAATATAACACTATTACTTTAATAAATAATTAATACAATTTATAATATTTTTATTTCAATAAAATATACCTAATTTAATATTTTTATTAATAAATTATAAAAAAATATTTTAATAATAAATAAATCATTTTAATATTTTAAAAATAATAATATTAAGTTTTATGATAAATAATATTATTTATTGTATTTAATATTTGTAATAAATAATTTTTAAAAAAATTACCAACTAGTGAGAAAAGGGTTTAAACATCTTCTTCCAAACATCGTAAAACGTTTTTCAGAAAATGTAATCATTTTCCGGAAAACATTTTTTGAAAAACGTTTTCAGTGAAACAAACGAATCCTAAATTTCACCTGGAATGACGATTTAATACAGCAAATTTGACATCTTCATATTAGCCCCTTTTGTGTGAAAATTTCACGAAGGGGATTGAATCAAATCCAATAGCCATAATGAGTTGATCATCAAAATGAGGGTCCTCTTGTCTATGAGTTGATCAAGTGGGTTCACCAGCTTTATAGGTGTAGTCGGCGATAAAGTAATATATATTCAAAATTTTATTAATTTATTAAAAAATGTAAATGTTATATAAATATAGTTGTTCGAACCCAGAAAATCTTTAGGGAGAACAACATTATCGTATACTACTTAAGTCACTTGATGAGTTCGTGACAATGTTCAACTTTAAAACATTTAGCTACTCCCAAAAATCATAACACTAGAAATATATACAGTGTATTTTGACGATTTTTTTTTAGTTGTATTATCTAAATTTTTTGAGTATATACTTATTTTTAAAGGGTTAATACAAATATAAGTGCTTAAATTATACCTAAAATTAATTTTAGGTGTCTAAAGAATTTTTGCCTCAAAATATATGTTTAACATTTTCAACATTACATTTTTAAGTGTTTGGACTATCATCGCCAACAATGAAATCGTTAAGTGAGATGTGTCCCCTTTATAAAATTCTAAAATATCATTTAAATTGAAATTTTTAAAATTATAATTTTATTTATTAAAAAGCTAAAATTTTATAAAATTACAAAAAATCCAAAATCTCTTGAAACCCTAATTTCAATCCTTTAGTATCGTTGGTCATCATTAATGTCGTCAACCGGCCATACACCCAACGTTGTGCAACTGGTCAATCATCCAACGACCGAAATTCCTTAATTTTGTGACTGGCCAAACACACAATGGTCGTGTAAATACAAGATTTCACAATCGATCGAAAAAATTTCTCCACGTTGCAATCGATGATTGTCGCTACAATTAGGAAGTGGATCAAGGATTTCGATCTTTGGGTGTTCGACCAGTCACACACCATTGGAATTTTGGCCGGTTGGTGGTGACCGAAAATGACAAATGGATTGAAATTAAGGTTTTTAGGAATTTTGGATTTTTTTTATAATTTCAGAAAAAATTGAGGTTTTTTAAAATAATATTTTTGGTGTTTTTTCAAATAAAATTTTTATGTTACGTATATGATAACAATTAAATTTATTGATTGTGACAGTCCAAACACTTGAAAATATTTGAGCATTTTTTTTTGCACCAAGTTTTTTAAATATATAAGATTATACTTTCCATTTAGACATGAATATCTTAAATTATAAACATATGCATGTTTATGATTTCTTTTCATTGAAATATCACCCTATTAAAAATGATTTACGGCATTAACATTTGTTTCAAATTATTGTCTTTTTATGCTATGTAAGAGAAAGATACATTATGTCATACGTATCTTTAAAAGCGCGACATGCAGATCATAAAAGAGGTAGTGTATTTTACCTACAAGATGGTACAATCAAGACAAAATGAATGAAAACAAATTAAAAAGTTAAAATTGTAAAAAATGTCAGTTCCCCCCCCCCCAAAAAAAGAAATAAATAAAAGGAAAAAAAAAAGAGATAAAAATGTGAAAAACTGTATGAATTTTATCCCAAAAATAAAAAGAGTTAATTGTATCACATGTCCTCAAAGTATTATCGTTATTTTAAATTAGTTCTTAAACTTTTAAATGTTTTAATTTCATTCCTAAACTATTACTATCATTCTAAATTAATCATCAAACTTTTAAATATTTCAATTTCATCCCCAAACTATGACCTTTATTCTAAATTGGTTTCCAAACTTTTAGAACATTCCAATTTTATCCCAAACTATATGTATATATTAATCACATCCCTTGTTAATAAAATTTTTAGACCAAATTGTATTATTATATATTTTAAAAAAATACAATTTAGGTTAAACTACGGTTGAAATTAATTACATATTTAAGTGAATTTGGGAATGTAATTGGAAGATTCAAAAGTTTGGGGATCAATTTAGAAAGAGGGTCATAGTTTATGGATTAAATTAGAATATTCAAAAATTTAAGGACTAATTTAGAATGAGAGTCATAGTTAGGGATAAAATTGAAATATTTAAAAATTTAAGAAGTAATTTAAAATGAGAGTTACCATTTAAATGATATAATTAACTCGATTAAAAAAATATGCACTACGTGTTTGATGTGGTATGCTTTGATAGAAAACACCTTTTTGAAAAAGACATTTAATGTAATGTACTTTTATAAAAAAATATAAATTCAATAATTAATCTATAATAAATATAAATTCAATAATTAATCTATAGTAAATATAAATTCAATAATTAATCTATAGTAAATATAAATTCAGAAGATACTTTTATTAAAAAGTTTTTTATAAATGAAAAAAGGCGCAAGGAATGAAAAAGTAAAGAGGATGGAGATCCAAAAGTCAAAGAAGGTATGCAGTGATATTTTGAAAATTTTAAGAAAGGTAAAAAATTATATCACAAGCACTAAATATTTCTCACTTTATGTTCTTTTGATTATCTGTTAGTCTCTGTGATGTGTTTTAGTTTATGGCCATTCCTCTGTTACCACATAAAACAAATTGTAACCTACTGGCAACAAACACAAGACAAATTTGGAGACACCGGAAACTTCATCTTTCACATCCCAACCACTTCTTAACTAATTCTTTATGTTTTTACAACTACTCCAACAAGGTTAATTTGAAGTCAGACTCGAGGAATATGGATATAGATTGACGATAGGAAATAACATTAACTCAAATTAAATTATTGCAAATTTCAATCGACTATGATAATATTTGTTATAAAGAATCCTGAAAAGAGAAATTAAAATCGTGTAAGGTCAGGAATAGACCTATAGGAGATGTATAAGAGATGAGTGAGGGCTTGTCGTTCTCTTAAAAATTTTAATATATTTTAAATATTTTATTTATATTTTATTAAAAATATGTTTTCGCACTCCTCCCCAAATTTTATAAGTTCTTTTTTATCTAAAATTTAATAAGTTTACTATATGAAAGTTTAGGTCCGGCCCCGAGTAAGATAGTGAATGCGTGCAAGTTTCCACGGCATCAAACATGAAACGGCGTCAAACATGAAATTTATGTGATCTCTAAGAATTCAAATACATAGTAAGAGCGGGGAGCAATATTTGCATGGGATTGTCATGCACAACGCAGCAGTACAACAGCACACACAGATTTCCACCAAAAAAGGACTGAACCTGTCGTTTCAAATGGAATATGGATCATAATAACCTGCAAGACTGAGAGCGTTTTCACTTTGCAAACGAAACCAGCACGAGCATGTCGGCTTATTCCTTAGTGCTGGATCAGCAGGAATGTTTCGATTTGAAGGGAGAAAGATTGTCCGGTCGGCAGTACAAACCCCACATAGATTTCCACGGCATCAAACGTGTAATGTATTCTAACAATTCAAATACATAGAAATAATGGGGGGGCAATAGTTGAGATATTACATGGGAACGTTATGCATAAAAGCAGCAGTACATCAGCACACATAGATTTCAACCAGAAAAAGACTCAACCTGTCATGTCTATTCATAATAACCAACAGTACACATGAGATTGCAAAGCGTTTTATCTTTGCAAACGGAACAGCTGCACTTGTCGGCTTCTACGGTCTATAAATGCCCAGCCAAACCAAAACCTCAAACCCATCTCATCACTCATCAATACAAATTAACATACCTTTTTTTCTATTTCTTTGAGCTTTGTTCTCATCTCAAAATGGCCAAAACCAACTTCAATTTCGCTGCAGCCCTTCTTGTTGTGCTCTTGTTTGCTTATGGAATCACATTTTCCCAGGAAACCCGGGTTCTGAAAGCTGACGATCAGAATGCGAACAACTTAAACGGTGATGGATCCACCGGCGGTGGCAATGTCGTCAACACTGCATACACTACCGATGGTTTCCGCCCCACAACTCCCGGTCACAGTCCCGGCGCCGGCCACTCCAGGGGACCCACTCGTAATAAACATAAT